ACGCCCATACACCAACTCAAATGGAGTCATCTTGGTCGAATCATGGTAGGTAGAATTCTACCAGTACTCAGCCCAGGGCAGAAAATTTTCCCACCTCTTCGGAGATTGATGAACATAGCACCGTAGGTATTGCTCAAGGGTTCGGTTGGTTACCTCGGTTTGCCCATCGGTTTGGGATGATATGCTGAGCTCATGGATAACTTGGTCCCCTGCAGCTTGAAGAATTCAGACCAAAAGTTGCTCATAAAGATCCTATCTCGGTCGGAATCTATAGATCGCGGAGCTCCGTGTAACTTCATCACATATTCGACGAACAATCTGGCAATAGACTTGGCTGTGTAAGGATGTGTAATGGGTATGAAGTGAGCATACTTGGTAAGTTGGTCCACTACGACCATTACTCTGTTAAACCCATTAGAACTCGGCAGCCCTTCAATGAAATCCATGGTGATGTCTTCCCAAATCGCCTCGGGTACTGGTAGCGGTTGCAGCAGCCCGCTTGGTCGGCATAAATCAGCCTTAGTGCACTGACAGTCGTCGCATCGTGCGATGTAATCCCAAACCGTGCTCCGCTGTCCTGGCCAAAAGAAGGTATTGGCTATCCTCATCAATGTGCAATAGATACCCGAGTGACCTCCAACTTTAGAATCGTGGAAATGCTGCATGATCCTTTCGCGTAGCTGCCCACTGTCGGGGATGAATACTCGGCCTTGATGTAGCAATAGGCCATTGTGTAGCTCGTAATCAGCAGTGGTTTCTCCTGCTTCGATCTTTCGACGCAACTCCTGGCAATAAGTATCCTCCTCTTGCACCTTTCGTACTTCTTCCCAGATGGTCCATGTCGGCCCGGTGATAGCACTAAGCTCAGCTACATCCGTCCGTCGGGATAATGCGTCAACTACAACATTCTGTCGACCTAGCCGGTAAACTATCTCAAAATCGAACCCCATCAGTTTCCAAACAAACTTCTACTGCTCGGAAGTAATAATCCTTTGCTTGAGTAGATGCTTGAGTGGCTGCTGGTCGGTCACAATCCGAAATCGACGCCCTAATAGGTAAGGCCTCCAGCATCTTACAGCCTCGACAACTGCTAGCATCTCCTTTACGTACACAGATAATCCCACTCGAGTCGTGCCTAGTGCCTTGCTGAGATAGGCTAGGGGTCGTCCTTCCTACACTAGCACAGCTCCAATTCCAATATCACTCGCATCTGTGTGTACCTCGAACAAGACATCAAACGTTGGCATTGCGAGCACTGGCGTTGTAGTCATGGCTCCCTTCAGTTTCTTAAACGCCTCCTCGCTAGCCTTGGTCCATGTGAACCCTCCTTTCTTGGTCATCTCTGTAAGTGGCTTGGCGATGGTTCCATAATCCTACACAAACTTCCGGTAATAGCCCGAGAGCCCTAGGAATCCTCGGAGTTGCGTGAGACTCGTTGGCTTAGGCCATCATACACAAACTTCCATGGATCAACCTTCACGCCATCGTAGGATATAAAGTGACCTAGGTACTCAACCATCTCCTGCCCGAATGAACACTTGGACGGCTTGATGTGAAATGAGTTAGCCTCCAAGACTTCGAGCACCACTCTGAAATGCTCCAAATGTTCAGCCCATGACTTCGAATATACCAAGATATCATCAAAGAAGACTTGAACAAACTTGCGTAGATACTCCTTGAAGATAGAATTCATAGCAAACTGGAAAGTTAACGGAGCGTTGCACAGCCCGAATGGCATCACCAAATACTCATAATGCCCCTGATGTGTACGAAACGCTATCTTCGGAATGTCGGCCTTGTGGAGTCGGATCTGATGGTAGCCAGCTCTTAGGTAGAGCTTCGTGAAATAACATGATCCTGCCAACTCATCGAGCATGTCGTCAACACTAGGAATGAGAAATCGATCCTTGATGGTCACGACATTCAGAGCCCGATAGTCAGTACAAAACCTCCATGTACTATCCTTCTTCTTAGCTAATAATACCGGTGATGAAAATGGACTCGAGCTATGCTGAATTAACCTAGACTCTAACATCTCAGCTATTGCCTTTCGATCTCAGTTTTTTGAAAGTGAGCGTACCTATAGGGATGGACGTGAACTGCATGTTACTCGTTGACTAGTGGTATGCGATGATCGAACTCCCGATGAGGTGGTAGTCCTTTAGGCTCACCTAACACTCCCTCAAATTCCTCGAGAAGCTCGCGCACATCTCCTTGTTGCTGTTGATCCTTGCCCACGTGCGCCCTAGTGTTCTCCACTACTACTGCAAAGATTTGGCCGCCACCTCGCCAAACTCTTTCAAAGCTCTTTAGTCCAACCTCCTTAGTAATTTTCTCTCTTCCAGCCTTAAGAGTGACTCTCTTTCCTCCCGATCTGAACTCCATAACTCCGGTGCGGTAGTCCGTGGTCACTCTTCCCGGTCCTTCCAGCCATTGCACCCCTAGCACCACGTCCGGTCCAACCAAGGGTAGGGCATAGAGATCGGCTTCCATAAGAACTCCTTGGAACTTGATTGGTACCTTACGAAAGGACTCGGTGCACTGTAGCCTTTTCCCGTTGGCTACTCGAACTTCAAAGGGCTCAATCTTTGTGGTTGGCAAATTTAGCTTTTGGGACAAGTCAGCATTAATGAAGTTGTGTGATGACCCGTTGTCTACGAGCACGATCACCCTACGATCCTTGACCCACGCGGGTAGTGCATCATCCTTGGCCCTCTGATCCCAGCCATTGCGTGCATCGATATTTCAGCTTCCTCATCGAGCACTTCGACCTCGTCTCCTTGCTTTGGTTCCTCTTCGTCCTCGGAATCCTCCTCATCGAAATTGGCGACTTTGATTACAAAGGCTTGCTTACACTGATGGCCTGGTGTGAACGTTTCTTCGCATTTAAAACATAGACCCTTCTCACGCCGGCGCTTGACTTCCTCGGGAGAAAGTCGCCTGACTACTGGCCCTGCCGGTCGAGTGCTGACGGTCGGTCGTGCGCTTGCCATCGGTTGGCGCGGGTCTGCGCGCCACGTGTTTGTGAAACAGACATCCGCCCGTCCCCTTCGCGTGACTGCCAGATGATCCTCGCGGCGTCGGGCTACCTCCATGGCTGTGTGCATGGTTTCTGGCCGCTCTAATCGAACTTCGGCAGCTAAATCGAGTTTAAGGCCGCCGATGAATGCTCCCACCAATGCATCCTCAGGCCAATCTCGCACGCGGCATGCCAGACGTTCGAACTCTTTGATGTACTCGCGCAAGCTGTCTGTCTGTCGTATACGCGTGAGAGCCTCATTGTAATTATGGTAATCGGATGTGCCAAAGCGCGTGAGCAACTCCCTCTCAATGTCCGCCCATGTGATGGCCTGCTGCCGCTTGCGGTAGATCCTCGTGAGCCATTGCCACCATACATTGGCCTCACCATCAAGATAATAGGTTGCGTACCTTACACGATCTGGGCCGTCCATCTCGTTGAGCTTAAAATATTGCATCGCCCGGTTGAGCCATGCATCTGGATCGTTGCCGGTGAACGTTTCTAACGTGATGTGCGGTTTGACGGGCTTCGGTCGGTCCCGATAATTAGACGCTTGGGACTGCCGGTCGAAGTCATCCTTGCGCTCGTACTCTTCACGTCGGTGTTCTTCTCCTTCGGCCCGCTCGCGGTCATGGGGCCGTGCGTGCTCGTGCTGCCGGGGTAGTGGTAGGCGTGCGAGCACGTTGCGCGCCATCTCGTCGAAGCGTCTATTTACGGTTTCCATCAAATCTTGCACTGTCGCCTTGGTATTGTCGAGTCCTTCGCCTAGCGTGTCGATGAATTCGCTCATTCCACGGAATTGGACATCGAGATTATCGATCTTATCCTTCATCTCCTTGTTGGCCATGGCTTTCTTTTCCTCTCTTCGCTCTTTACTTTGCGGACTCGTGTTGGAAGGTTTTTTGTAATGTCCCGTTCGCTTGTGGATTTTTGGAGGTTATTTATTTTGCTTTATTGTTATTATTTGTCTCATTGTATAAATTGTTTATTATTATTATTATTATTATTATTATTATTAAATATTTAATTGTTTAAATGCCTAAATGAATATTGTTGTTATTTATATTAAATATCTAAATTGTCTAAATGTTAATATGTTATTAAATGTTTATTTACTAATAAAATGTTATATATTAATATTTATTTTGTGCGATATACATGTAAATAATGTCCGTTTTTATTTTATTGTCGAGCCCGAGAGAAACCAGTCGAATTTGAGTATGTTTCGTGGCCATTTTGGGACTATTTTTTTTCTCTAGCCCAATTAGTTAAATATTGTTGGCCCAACTTCCTTTATTAAAATTGGCCCAGTTGATGGCTTAAACATTAGCCCATCATAATTAGTTCACATGCAAATTTCCTAACAGATAAAATTCTTTTCTCAGCGACTTGTTCTTCTCCTCATCCAATTCAGGCGCGATTCTTCCGGCACGTTCATCCCCAGGTTTGCGTCTATTACTTAAGAATAGGTCTTGTGAATCCTTTTTTCTCATCAGAAATATCATCCCTTTCATTCGCTACTTTGCTCGTCGTTTAAAAAAAAGAGAGAGAAGAAGAAGAAATCGAACAGAAAACAGAGCATAGGAGAAAAAGATCAAACCTGCTACCATGACTCCTTCCCAGCGCACCATCATCATCTTGCGCCATCATGCCTTGGTCCGTCGCGTTCCGTCGGAGTGCCGAACAAAGTCGGCGAGTCCCGGCATATTTTCTTCCCGCGGCTTCGTCGTTCACTCCCCTCAGTCATCATCGGTGTGCTCTGTTCCCCGCTCCTTCACGCGACAGCACTGCAGCGAGCCTGCTACCTCGACGAGTCGTTGCCACCGTGAATCAACAGGGCTCGACCACCATCTGCATCCACGTTTTGCTGCCAAAGTGATCCTGTAGACCCCTCGCCGCGAGCCATCAGACCACAGCACCACCGAAGGCTAGCCTCGGGATCAATTTTTGGGCATCCCATGCGAACGACTGTTTTCACGAGCTCATACACGCGCACCCCAGAGGCAAGCCAAACACAGTTGTCGAGACCTCGAAACAGAAGCACATCGGCTTCCTTTTTAGTGGCAGTGGCCGACTCTTTGTCAACCGGCAGCGGCACTTCCGTTGTCCCTCTTTCAAACCTGAACAACCGCAACGCTCCTTGTCGGTTTCTTTTTCAAGTAGCAGCAGCCCCGTCTTCCGTCAACGGGCAGCCGACGAGTCATAGACAACAGCAAGTAACCGGAGTCGAGATAGTCTTGAACCCTAGAAGCGGCCGTGAGTAAGAATTGGTAGCCGAGTGCGAGTGGAGATAGTCGAGAAGCCTCCGAGCGGCCCGCTCAGCCCTCTTTCGACTTATTTCGAGTATTAATCCCGAGAACGGTACCTAGGCTCGAACCCCATCTCGTTTTGATTTTGTGTATTGTGATATCGTGATATATTATGTGTTGAACGTGTGAATTACAAGTTGATTACATGCCTTGGATATGTTATTGTGCCGTATTATGAGTTCACATGCGTTTTGGATATCAAAGTGATTGCCGTCACTTTGGTTTATTGTCGAACTGAGTTTTGAGTGGTATTTTTCATGATTATCCTAGAGTTATAGGTACTAGGAGTTGTCTTTGATTTATTGGTTTTGGTTTGAGGTCGTTTCGATGTGTATCTCATGAGTTATGAATTTTCTAAACCGAGCATGCTGCTGAATCGTAATTAATTCATGATAAATTGTGTGATTGTATAAATGCCGTGAAATTTTACATATGATTTTATGAGTTGATTTTGTAAGTCTTGTAAAATATTTAAGTAGAAAAATCCATCTGTAGTTATTTTAATTAATTAAATTGGTTTCTGGTCAGAATCTTGTAAATTTCATTAAAAATCGTACACTTGGAGTTTTGGGTTGAAACTTTGAGGAGTATGTTATTTTGGGGTATTCTGTGGTGTCTCAAAATTTTGGATTAAAATTCGAAGTGTAGCTATATGAACTATTAAATGTCGGATTTTGGCACTGTTTTGCTTAAATTATTTAAAAATGCTCCCGGATGAATTTAGGGCTGAAACTTGGTGAGGATATGTGTTTTTGTATGCCCTGTGATGTGGTAAAGTTTCAGGTTGATTGGTTGAGTATAACTCCGGATTCTGAATTTTGTTTATTTTGGAGTCTTAGTGCTCGGTTATCCGTTGTTTAGGTCCGTTATTTAAACCGTCACTTGCTGGTTTTGGTCTCCGGTCTGGATGGATGATAGATTTGATTGGAATACCGTATATACCTTAAGATCTTCTAATGTATTCTCAAACAGCTATCTAGATCTTGTATCAGTGGAGCACAAGAAATAGAACAACTCCTTGGAAGAGAGAGAGAGAGAGGGGGCGGACGAATTCCCAAGGTTATGGGATTGTCTCCACTCTTCCATGAGCCTAATGTTGTATATATAGAGCTACAGTAGGGACCCTAAGGAGAGTAGGATAAGGGCTTCTAATATCTTAATACTGTGGAGCAACCCCACAATTAATATATTAATAATATTAAAGTCCACCACAATAATATTATTGCACTCCCCTCACCTATCTCAAATTACATTTGAGACTCCTTAT